CTGGACTCCTATGGCCCAGCGCCTTAGCGAGGGGTCCTCATTGTGGGGACGGGCAGGTGGGAGCCACACCACTGGGCAGGCACTCCCTGCGCAGCTCCTTGCCTGAGGCCGGGCACACACCACACTCAGCCACTGGCCCTGAGCCTGGCGGCCCGCCATGGTCACACCCTCTGAGTCCCCAGGACCTGCCGGTGCTGTTTCAGCTGGAGGCTCAGGACGAGCCGGTGCTCTGACCCACTCACAGAAAGGGAAACCGAGGCCCAGGACACAGTGTCGTGGGGCGTCACGCCTGACTCGCTCTACCCTGGGAGAGGGGCCTGGAGGCAGGCCCCGAGGGGGACGGTTGCCGCTCCCGGCCTGGCTGCTGGTCGGCAGCTCTGAGCATGGCTTCCTTATGGTCTCCTCAGACAGCGAGATAGACCAGGGAGACGCTGGGCTAGCCCTCGTGCTGCGGCACCCACCCGGCCTCTGCGGCCAGAACCTCAGCCCACGCCTGGTCTGGGGACAGGACCCGGGGACCCAGCTGTGTCACTGCTGTGCCTCTGCATGGCCCCACCGGCCTTTGACCCTGACCACCCACCTGACCCCTCTGAGGCCAGGAGGGGGCTCACCAGAAACCACAGCCCGCCCCAGCCCCGTTTCAATCTACGACGCGAGTCTCCCCACGCAGCGTCCACTCCACACCTGGGCCCCTGCCCCTTCCTCTCGCCCACCCCAGGCCCTGTCGCGTGAGTGGCCCACAGTGACGACGGCGAGGGGTTCCTGAGACCGTCCGGGTATGGAGGCTTCTTCCCAACCTCGTTGCTATGGACACTTGTCTTCCCTGCTCCTTGTGGGAAGGAGGCCCACCCCCCGGGCCCCGCTTTCTCACTGTGCAGGTGTGGGCACTCTCCCTGGCTCACATAGGCCCCACGTCTTCTCTGTGGGGACGGGTGCCCTCCTGCCTGGGCCGCTCGGCCACTGTGGCCCTTGTTTGCAGTGAGACAGGTCTGATCAGACCTGCATCATCCTTCCCTGCCCTCTACCTGAGAATGATTTTTAAAAAAGTTTTTTCCTGAGCAAAAGAGAGAGAGACAGCACCCCTGGCAGGGCTGGAGACTGCGATCTGGCCAGGATCCCAGCCACACTGTCCCTGGCGTGCGCAGGGGTCTCTGGGCTGGAACCAGGAATCCCTTCCAGGTAGGTCAGCCTCACGGCTGCGCCTTAGCCCTGCACCACAGTCTGGCTGCTCCACCCGAGATGTTTTAACTGGGATCACAGAGACCCGCTGTGTTGGTTTTGTTTAAGAAAAAAAAAAATCCGAAGACGGAAATGCTTTGCTCAAGGCTGCCCGAGAACAGGAGGGAGTGGGCCGGCATCCGCCGCCTGCCCGCCTGCCCAGTGTGGAGGGGCTCTGGTATGCACCGCCAGGTGGGAGGGGAAGGGCCGCGCAGAGAGGACCCCCAGCTCATCTGAGTTAATTCCACGAACAAGTTGATCACTCAACGGGCATGCCCAGATGGGCTCTGAGCACGAGTCTTCGTTGGCTCGATGAGTTTGTAAAACTGGGGTGAGGGGCTCCGGGGACCACAGGGCAGGGAAGGGGGTCCCGACCAGGCTGCGCCTTAGCGAGGTGTCGGTGCGGCGTGGCAGTGGGAGTACCTGGCTCTCTGTCCCACGGGACAGGTACACTTAACAAAGCCTTGGAACAGGAGTGAGGCAGCCCCAGGTGACTGCCCGTGGTCCCTGCTGGCCAGCTTCCAGATGTGTGGACTTTGCTGTCGCCGCCCAACCCGCGCCCTCCCCCTCGGCCGCGGCCGCGGCTGCTCCACGTGCCTGGGCTGGACGCAGAGCCTGCAGGGCCGGCCGGGAGGGCCTGAGCTGGGATGGCCCTGGGCGGTGGCCCTCGGGTCTCGGCCTTGGCGCCAGCCTGGCGGGGGCGGACACCTACCGTGTTCTTATAGAAGAAGTACAGCACCATGTTGGCCAGGCGGGAATAGCACCAGTGTCCGTGGACGATGAGGAGCCGCTCCAGGTACCGGAAACGCGGCACCGCGAAGTCGCTGGCCATCACCGCCTGCAGGGGAGGGGGCTGCGTCAGCGGGGATGCCTTGGCCTCGGCCACGCGGGTCTGTCCCTGCTCCTGAAATCCTTGCTGAGACCTGGAGGAAGCCTGTTTCAGATGCAGGGCGTGGCGACCCCGTCACCTCCTGGGCACCGCTAGCACGGGGCTGGCGTGCTGAGACTCAACACGTACATGTGGGGAGGGCTGGGACAGCTCACGTGGGATGAAACAAGGCCAGCCCGACCCTGACCCGAGGCCGCCGCGTGGTCGTTACCTGCATGCCCTCCTGGCCCGAGATGCCCACGCCCACGTCGGCCACCTGGATCATGCTGACATCATTGGCTCCATCACCTGAGAGGGCAAGGCGGGAAGAGTCGTGTGAGTAGAGACGTCGGGACCAGACGGCTCCACACGCCCTGGCTCCCGGCTGCGTCCTGGGGAAGAGGCGCTCTTTCCGGGGGAGCCTGGGAGCAGCTGCCCCCCAGGGAGCAGGTCACGCCCGGTGTGGGTCATGGTCATGCTGCTGCCCTGGCTGAGACGTGACCGACGCTCTCGCGGGCGGTCCCTGCCCTTGGAGGCTCCACTCTGACTTCCGTTCCTTCCCGCAGGAGACCTGGTCTCTGCCCGCCTTTGGAAGATAAGGTCTCAGCACCACGCCAGCCTGCCTTGGCCTCCGGGCATCAGCACACAGGCTAGCCTGTGGTCTGAGGGGGGCTTGGGTTTGCACGCAGGCTCCCACGCAGCCTTGGCCCTCAGAGCAGCAGTGCCCGTGTGGGCTGCTGCCGGCCTGGCTGGACTTGACCTCGTTTTCGACCACCCCAGACACCGGAGACAAGGAGGCCGAGCCGACACCACCAGGCCATGCAGACTGTCCGCTGCTGCCTCCGACACCCGTTCAGGGCACCCCAGAGGCCGCTCCGGGCCCTTGAAGGCCAAGACGCTAGGACAGACCCCTTGGAGGGGACATTCCTGCGGGGCCTCTTTCCTCAGCCTGGACGGGGCCACGGCTGAGCCCGCCCGCATGTCCCCGGCTGTGTCCCACATCCTCGGTGACTGTGTGCCCCTGGGGGGTGCAGTACCATGTCTCCATGACGACCATGCTGGGCGAGGCCAGGCCTTCTCCCCAGCCTCCCCCTGGATTCCAGCTCGGGACTGCCCAGACACAACATCCGTGAGGACGGGGCAGCTGTCTCCACTTCGGCAAGGAGTGGAAATGCTGGGTGTTTCAGAGCAGCCCCAGTCACCGTGGGGCTATGTGCTGGGAGACGGAGCTGCTGGGTACCTGGCACTCGCCACTTCCCTGGCCGCCCAGACGGGCGCTGCAGAGCCCTGACCCTGTGCTGGGACCATCGGAGCCAAGGGGCAGAGCTGAGGCCGGCAGAGAGGGGCTGCATGCATAGGGCGCGCGCTCGTGGAGGGGAGACTGAGACGGAACACGAGCAGTCACCCCTGGGGGAGGCCACGTCACCATCCCTTGTCCTTCATTCTCCTCCTGATATCTGGGCACGCACGCACGCACGCACGCACGCACGCACACCCGGTGTGACTTTCAAGCTGCCAGGCCTGGGATTCCAACTGTGGTGGGCCGTGTGGGATCCGGCACCATAACCACTATGCCACCTGCTAGCCCCTAAAGGTGGATTTCAGTGAGATGTGGCCTCTGGGGCCTCGCGCGCCATGGCCTCGGGCCCAGGAGGCTCACAGTGAAGGCAGCAGCCGTGGAGGGCAGGCCTTCATTCTGGGGGCGGCGCAGGGTGGGCAGGCTCGGCAGTGGCCGGGGCTGCGGGGGTGGGCGTCTCCGCACCCCTCCCAGGAAGGAACCTGTCCCACGTTCCTCTCCACGTCACAGTGTGACCTCGCGGCGTGTGCACATCGGCTGCCGTGCCTGGGCTTTCCCAGTGGCACCTGTCCGAGCTCACTGCCTGCATCATAGCTGGGCCGTCACCATGGACAGAGGCACCCCACTGAGCCTGGGGGTCAGAGCCACTGTCAGGCGTGGCAGGACTTGCCTATGGCCAGGGTCATGGCCTTGAGCTTGGTCCTGACCAGCTTCACAACCATGCTCTTCTGCAGCGGCGTGACCCGGCAGCACAGGACGCAGTGGCACTGCCGCGCCAGACACAGGAACTTGTCCTCCAGGGCCTTCTCCAGGGCGAACGCCAGGCTCTGGCCGTCGACCACGAGGCTCAGGCTGTGGCCGGTCGGGGTGGGCGTGGAGCCTGGGTGTACAGGGGAGAAGCCCACACTCTCGCTGCTGCTGGTCTTCGTGGGGGCGCCGTGGGGGCCCTTGGTCTGCACATAGTGGAGACACTGGTCCAGCAGGGCTGCACACGCCTCCTGGAACGGACGGCGAGGACGGTGCGGGTCACACAGAGCACGCCACAGACCACGGTCCCTCCCAACACCACCGCGCCAGGAGCCACCAGGCCCACTCACTTGAAGGGACAGAGAGGAGAAGGAGTGGGCCTGGGTCCCACGTACCCCGCCTCCCCACCCGGGTGCAGGGCTGGGACGAACGCCCGCGCTGCCCTGCCCCGACGCTGCCAGCTGCTGAGAGCGAGGGGCCTCCGCCTGCTCCTCTGAGGTGCCAGGGACACCGTGCAGGGACACAGCGGTGTCACAGTAGGAACAGGGGGTGCTCTGGTCCTGGCATGAAGCTCGGACGAGGACCGCCCTGGTAAGGCGGACAGGCACGCCCGGTCCTGCCTCCCCACCGAGCAGCTTACAGGGCTCGGCCTGACAACGTGGGGTCAACACCAACAGCAGGTGGTGTCGACAGTACAAGTGCTGCCAGGGTGCCATGGCAGCCTCGCCCTCAGCCAGCCAGGGGATACCCAGCACGCACATGGCAGCCGCAGGGCAGAAGCCTACAACTGCACTCTCGTCAGAGGGAAACACCGGGTTTCTGTCTCGCAGGAGACTGTCCCCACACCTGACCGCACTCTGCGGAACGACAGCGCCCCCAAGACAAGGAAAGCCTAAGGAGTCGTCTCCAACCAGAGGAGCAGGAGGGAGCCTGGACAGGTCCCGACTCAGGGCAGGGACACCGGGTCAGAGGTAAGGAGCCAGGCAGAGCTAGGACGGGCGGTGGGATCCACAGACACATTACCCCCGACAGAGAGCAGGGGTCGGCACGGAGGACTTCCATTTTATCATCTAAATCCGTCCAGGGGCCTGCGGGCGGCATGGTGGTTGTAGCACTGGACTCCCATATGGCCCAGTGCTGTCCAAGTCCTAGACCCAGTGGCTTGAAAATCACATTGGGGGTGTGTGTGCGTGCCCAAGATCCAGGGAGGAGAGTGGAGCGGGGCTGTGGTGTGGACATCGCCTGCGGGAGAGTTTTCACTTTTCCTCTCACTGTCTGTTTCCCTCCCTCATTCCAGACAGCACATGCGCCCTATGGCAAAAGATAAAGAAAAAGAAAAGAAGAAAAAAGAAAGGAAAAAAGGAAAGAAAAGAAAAGAAAAGGAAACCTAAAGCCATCTGGGAGGGGCCTCGAAGTCCGTGGAGAAGTGGAATGAAGGCGTGTTCTGGCAGGGAGGGAAGGCGAGACCCACGCGTTAGTGTTTTCTAAGAGGTGCTTCCGTGAGGCTGGTGCCGATCATGAGAAAGGCCCCGGCCCGCGTGACGGGACAGCCCCAGCCTGGGCTCCCTTGGCACGGAGATGCCCGCGCTCCCTCGTCTCCCAGGGCAGGGAGAGCTCGCCCAGGCCCCAGACGCAAGCTCAGCGCCCACAGGGACGGGGCGTGGGTTCTCCTCAGGGCAGCTGCTGGAGGTGGAGGCTGGCGTGGATCGCGAGCCAGGCAGAGGGGAGCCCTGGAACCTCACCCGGGACTTGGCGCTGAGGGCGAGCAGCTCCTCCTCCTGGTCCAGCAGCCTGCAGGCGTAGGCGACGTTGAGCGCGGTCTCCCGCTTGTCACCGGTGAGGACCCAGATCTGCAGGCCTGCCTGACGCAGCTTCATGATGGTCTCAGGGACGCCCTCCTGCAGACGGTCCTCGATGCCAGTGGCCCCTGGCGGACATACGGGGCCATGAGCCTCCTCACAAGCCCCAGCCAGTGGGTGGTGCCACCCGCCACGCACACCCAGGTGGGCACGGCCTCACGACTGCCTGAGAGTGTCCACGGAGACAGGGCATGGGCCTACCCAGGGGTCTTGGTGACCCTGAGAATGCACAGGGACGGGAGGCCTCTGGGACAGGACACACGGCTGGGGTCGGGGGCCACACTGGGATTAGTGTCCGATAAGAGGAGACCAGAGGCGATTTCTCTCCCGGCCCCATGAGGTCACACTGAGGAGTGGCCATCGGCCACGCAGGAGCACGCCCTGTCTCCCCAGATGCGGGCCCTGCTGGCGCCCTGGCCCGGGACTCCAGCCTCCAGAACTCGGGGGCAAACGCCCGCAGCTCGAGGCCCACCCGCCGTGGTCTGTTCGGCAGTGCCAGCACATGTCAACACCCCTGCCCTCCTCCTGGGCAGACATGGGGCAGGCCTGCTGGGGATGGATGCGGTCCCACGCAAACTGTCCCTGAGTACCTTGGACACACTTGCACAGCCGTGTCGCTGCGGGCCACCCTGGCTCAGTTCCGCAGGCACCGGGCTGCCACCTGTCCTGCTCCTGCAGCCAGGGCAGTGGTCAGGCCTGGCCTAGCCCCCACTCGTGGAATGTGCCGGAAGGCCGAGTGGGAGCCTGGGAAGGACCCAGAGGAGCAGGGGACGCAGTCTGCTCTGGACCTGGAGGTCACAGTCTCAGAGGAAGAGGACCAGGCCGGGCGTGGGGTCAGGCCTGCTCGGGTGAAGCATCTACACCTTACTCACTGTGCTCGCCCACACCCAGGCTGGGGGGCAGCTGGTCTCACCTCCCCTGCCCAGGCCTCTGGTGCCAGCGGGGGCAGAGCGTGTGGCCTGCATCTCCGCTGGGATACCCACGGGAGGGAGCACAGGAAGCCTGACTTGCTTCGTGACTGTCACTTCACGCAGTCCGCTCTGGCACCGAGCCCGCAGCGTCTCTAGGCCCATCCTAGCTCATGCTTGTTACCCAACACCCAGACCCTCTTCTTCCCATCACACTAGAGTCACACGCTGCAAACCCCCGCTGTGCGGGGCAGGGGCTCCCTTACGCTCCACTGTCCATCCTGGCTCACCCCTGTGCTGCTGGAAGAGCTGTTTTCAGAGAGCACAGTTGCCTCAGACCGAGTGCCCGGTGGGCCGGGGCAGGCACCCCAGAGACCATTCCAGCAGGACCCTGTGGCCGTGGCCGTGCCGGTGCCAGGCGGATCCCACCCATGCCCAGTGCATGCAGAGTGGTGGCCGAGAAGAGCTGCAACGCCCAGGCCCTCCCACCCACAGGCACTGCCAGGTGGAGCCTGTGCTCACCCAGCAGGTGCAGGTTGGTCTCCAGGCGGCTGGCCGACTGGGACAGCAGCTCCTCGCGGTTGTCCAGGGAGGACTCTGCCTCCAGGTGGCCCTCTAGCCAGTCCGCGTACTCCTCCTCGCTCAGGACCTGGTGGGACGCACTGCTGAGTGCCCTGGCGCCCGCCCACGCCACACCCACGCCCGCACCTGCGCTGGGGACCGCCCTCACCCTCTTGGCGATGCACAGGGTGCGCAGGCCCTCCACCGCGTACAGGTCCAGGCAGCTCTGGGTCTCGCTTCTGATCCTCCTCTGATGCCTTCCCCGGGCGTCGTCTAGGTCAGGGCGGAAGCAGAGACACAGTGAGCGCCGTCCAGGGGACGCCCGGCGCGTCTAGGTCGGCGACACTGAGGAGGCCCACGCCAGTCTGCAGGGTGTTAGGTGGGAAGTGCCGCTGGCTTTCTCAGAAGCCCCACCGCAATGCGCACTCTGTCTCAGCCTCGCACGGAAACGAGACGCTCGTGGCTACCAAGGCCTCACGGGTGTGGCCGGCATCTCGCGTCCAACCTGTCTGACAGCCCCACAGGCCCAGACGCTGTCCCGACTGTCCCCGAGTACGCCCCTCCTCTCTGGACCGGAGAGCGTGTGAGCCCTCACGGTGCCAGACCTACCCCGTCTAGACGTGGCTTTTCCTGGGTACCTTAGAACTTTTTATTTTGGGGGGGGGTTAAAATACCCTTTTGGGAAGGACGTTAGAGTTTGTGACGACTGTCTCATTACAGTGACATGTTCGTTGTCTCAAGCTGCCAAGGGCTGAGTGTGCTTGCCAGAGGTGACACAGATGGGGAGAGTCTCCCTAGTGGGGCCGCACTGTGACCCTTCTCCATTTCTTCCCACTCTACTGTCAGCTGGGCTGTGTCACGACTGGGGGGCGCAGGTAAAATTCCTGCCCAAGATGGCCGTCCACGTAAACAGTCACCCCAAACGTTTACGAGCCTTTGGGAGCCCGCGGCCCCGTGACAGGGCACACCGCCTGTCTGGGGCGGGAGGCTGCCGGGTAGCAAGGTACCCCCAGCCCTGGGGTCCCCAAACCCTGGGCCGCGGAACAGTGCTGGCCCAGGTCTGTGGCCTGCCGTGCCCCCCGCCCCATGGCCGTGCACTGCGGGGCGTGGGGCAGTGCGGTGGGTGTGTGTGCCGCCCTGCCCACTGCTTGCTTTGCCACCTAGCCCCAGCTCCTGCAGGGTCTCACGGGACCACAGCCCTGGTGTCAGGTGAGTGTCTGGTCCACGCTGCATGTGGCGGTGGACGTGGGGTGTCCGGTGGTCATGGTGCACTTCCGTCATCTGGTGGTCAGCCCTCCCCACCTGTGTCCGTGCAGGGACCATGGGGACTGTCCCCCTCGCTCCATCCCAGTCAGGCCAGACTGCAAGTGGTGCCAGGGCTGCCCCCAGACAGGACAGGACAGGGAGGGTGGGCCCCTCAGACAGCAACTAGAGACGCCTTCTGTCCACCCCACTTTTACCTTGGTCCCTGGGGGTCGGCCAAGTCCACCCTGCCCACAACACCCACCCCTTGCCTGCCAAGAGCTGGCACCCCTGCTGGAAGAGCTGTGGGTCCCTCTGCTGGCCAAGTTCCCCTCCACACCATGCCCTTCAAGTCTCGGCCCAGCAGCCATGTGGGACTCTAGCATGGAAAGGAGACCAGGGCAGAGGGGCCGTGTGGAGGCATGGCCCCCACCTGCTGGGTCCCCACTACGACCTGGGGCGTCTCCACAAATAGGCGGCAGACCAGAGAGTGTGACCCTGCAGCTGCCCCAGGTCCACAGGGCAGTGGGAGCCTTCAGAATGCTAGTCTAAGCCTCTACCCTCCTCGTTCAGCCTGGCCCCCGACACTCCCGAGTGCCCGGCCCGCCGTCGGAGCAGAGGCGCTGGAGTGTCGAGGCCCCGCGCATCCAGCCCAAGGCCCGGAAGGAGGAAATGGCAGTCCCAGGCACGGGATGCCCTCCACGGCGTTCTCGGGCACCCGGAGTGTCTCTCCCCCAGGTTGGGGCTTTGTGCCCCTCCGGAGGCCAGGCACGGCAGGCCGTACCTGAGGAGCAGGGCAGCAGCAGGCCCATCACCACCGAGTCGGCGCCCTTGGTGTAGACGTGGACCTTGCGGGTGAGCGGGTGCCGGATCACCACAGACATGCGTTTCCGTGTGGCGTCGAAGCCAAGCACATGCAGCAGCTCAAAGCTGAGCCTGCCCAGCCGGGGCAGCTCCACCGCCACCCGGTCCTGCAGCCGGCCCACCAGCGTGCAGCTGTAGGCCCGGGCCGCATACACCAGCGCCGCCTCGTCTGGGCTCTCCGCCTCGTAGCGCAGCTCCGGCTCCTGCTGCAACCCTGGCTCCGGCGCGGGCTGGCGGTCGTGCTCTGGGGCCCAGTCGGCCACCGGGCTGCTGTAGCCATTGCGGGCCAGGGGGGGAGAAGGGGGAACCTGGGGCTCTTC